TGAGAGGAGTTTCGTCAAAGCTGACTAAAAGTGATTGAGGCTGGATCATTTCGACGAACTTGATGAACCTGTGATATCTTCTTCAGGGTGAAAAATGAAAATAAATGCTGAAACGTTTTCACGGAACCTTGCAAAAGCAGCGCGTTACAATGGTGAGGGAAAAGCTCAGTGTATTGCGTGTAAGTTAATCACATCCATACAGTTTATGATCACAACAACAACAACGTTTGTCAGGCATCTACATTGTCATCTGAAGAGATTACAAAGATTAAAAGAGTGTTTTTTTTTAACTCTAAAACATGAAATGTGGAGTTATCTGCTTTTGCCATAAAACGACTGTTGGAGTTACCTGCTTTTGCTATAAAACAAACTTTTAACATGTAAAAAAAAAAAAACAATTTCAATTAACTTTTTTTTTTTAATTTTGTAAATTACCTGTATTTGTTTAAGTTATTATTACTTAATCAAAACAACCCAAATGCAGTTTGATTGATATTACTTGGAATGTGCAATAAAAAAAACTTGATTTCTGGAAAAATACATTTTTTAAATGGAGTTATCGGTTTTTGCAAATTAACTCTTCATATATTCACTGAGGTGGCCAGGAGTTTCTGATGTAATGCATTGGCACAGCTGCCCCTGCACTTAAAAAAAAAAAAACACCACACATCCACATACAAAGGAACTAAACGACTGAATAATGAACGCTCCCTTGCTAATGTGGACTGATGGAGGGAGACTTTGTAGACGTGATGCTTTGCAAACCTGCAGAATATAAATAAATAACTTGCAACCATAAACAGTCAGCTCTGTGATTTTTACATTTACATTTCTGAAGAAAATGCAAATGGCATTTGTCCATTCAAAAAGGTTTAGCACATTGCTTTTCATCACAAGCTAGCTTATCTGCATCTACAGCAATAATGGTGTGCTATGCATTTTCAGCTCTAGATCAGAGTAATCATGATTGTACAGTAACCTGCATGACCGGGTCATTACAGTGAGACAATCCGTTAAGAAAATGAAAATTAGCCTCCTGTTGACTAATGTGATGGAGCTTCATTCTGTATTGGATTTAGTGTTGCTGATGTGGAAGCCATCTGGAGTGAACCTTTGAATAATACATGTGGAGGATGGTAGGAACCTGCCCTTTATGAGAACAATCGTTAAATCTCTCTAATGAGATCTTACCTCCACAATCTCCACAATGTGAGAGTATGTAATAAAAAATAGATGTTACTAGTATCTACAGTAACTTCAGCTTCAAAAAATGTATTATTACTCACATGATCAGTAATAATTTATGCTTCTCTTATATTTTAATACACGTATTTAATGCAATGCATTATGGGAAGTAACATGATAGTGCCATCTTACCTGTTGCAACACAAACGCTAATCTGGCTATTGGTATTAATGTTAACTTATGCATGAACAACCAAGATTCTACAAAGTTTTTTTAACAAAGCATGACTGCGGCAAAGCAAAGTGCAAAATGAAGTTTACAAAAGAAATGTGGAGGCGGAATCCTACCCATAATCAGTGATGACAGAGTCCAGCCCGTCTTTCTCTATATTAGGTGACCTAAAAAAAAAAAAAAAGGAAACAATCTTCTAGTTACTGCCACTATTCTCAGCCAAGAACTTCTCAAATTACATTTTTATGTTGAGTAGATAGCATTTCTTTATCAGTTAACAGAGTGTGTGTGCGTAAATGTGTTTCATTTCTAATTGTTGTCAGTGTCACAGACAATAGACCTTGTGTGGAAACACGGGTTGATTTAAAATGTGGCAACACTCACTGGGATGGAGACGTGGGGCTGTCCAGTGACTCTTCAGTCTTGAGTTGATCCCTAAAAGCAGATGAATGCATGTGAACAAAATCTGATCTTTTATTCATCATTAATGAGCCGTTATTTACTTTGTTTCCTGAACACACAAAAATATCTGGGAAAAAACTCTCAAGATCATATTTCATCAGCTTTGAACAGTTTCCCTAAACATGATACCCAGTGTCTCATAATATGTGCACTGTTAGTGAACAGGAAGTAGCACTGACTGAAACTTCATTTCCCACTGAATAGCTATACAAATAGTTGTATTTTCGAAATTAATTTAAAAAAATCAGCGACTATTCAATTTAGCAAAATGAACATTTTTCATACATTTTTCACATGTAACAAATTACGTTGAAAGGAACATCTACTTCCCTGTCATAAAACAATAAACACTTAAGCATTAACAGACTGCAGCAAGCAGCGCCTGTGATGTCATTTTATTTTAACAGGAAGGTGGGGTTTCACCATGAAAGAACAGGTATCATCCAATCAGCTTGCTCCAAATCTCATCCATGTTATGACATCATCTGCTACATTGTTTTTGACATTAGGCCTTTTGATTAACCTGACAGCCTCTTACCATATTGTTAAGGCTCACATTACTTTGCAACATACTAATGATAATGTTTCATATTCATTAATACTCTAATAGGCCTCTAATGACTGCTTATTCTATGGTGCCATTATATTAATGATAATCATGGCAGTTAGTTTAAATGTATGTAATTCCCAAACTTAATTTCTTTTAGGACTCTTGTTTCCAACAAGGGGTCCATGAAGAAGGCTATATAAACTGAATATATACAAATGTCTTTTAATTTCTTCACATTTCAAGAGTATATACAATTAAACTCAAACTAATGATCTGTTAAGCATTATAGTTATTGTACTTATTTAAATGTGTTATAGTACAGTTTTAATCTTGAGGCGCTCCCAAAGAAAAAAAGAAGCAAAGAGCATGTCTTAATGCATGTCCTGTCTTCACATTAAGGGGTTGATTTTGGATTACACTTACATATGATATATAATGTAATATTCACCATTAAATACAAGTATTGGGTACCACTTCACAGATAGCCTACTTTCATTAACATAACACATAACATACACGTTGATGTTTATATATTTTATATTTCAATATACAACGACAAATAATCTGTTAAGCATTATGTTCTTTAAATTAAAATTACTATAAAGTGTTCCTATGAATGCCATTTGTACTGTGATGTAAGGAGGCAGTGATTTGTTAGAACACAAAATTTAGATCTACCCACCACCTGAAACCATAATACTGAAGTCCGTAATTCTCTCATTTATGCAAATGATCTTCCTGTATCTTCCGCACGGATTTCTCTCTCCACCTGACCAAAAAGTGAAAGTTAGCAAACCTACTTTTTGTCGTCATTCTTCTTGTTGCGTCTCCAGAAACTCATTCCAAAGAGGAAGAGAAGACAGTAAATCCAGTAAGACAGTGGAGAGTGTGCTAGTCACTACCTGGACATTCGTTAACGTTACCTGTCCTAGCCTACCACAGGTGAGCACTGAACTTCTGTTCGAGAGGTAGCAGCGGCCGTGTGTGTCTATACTGGCTTTTTTCAACATGTGAGGCACATAGGGAGGTGTGGAGAAACCCATTCCCACAAATAAAGAGATCCTTTGCGAAAACTGTTGGAACGCTGTGCTGCAACTCTTGCTTGGTCTTAAAGTCCTCCATGTTCACCATTCACAAAGTGGTAACCTTATAATAATGTTTTCTAATTTGAGTGGTGGTAGGTTTTCGCTGGAAATTCGAGCATTCTGCTGCGTCATTACGTCACGTCAGGTCACGCATGTGAGGATCCTGCAGGTGGCCGATGATTTATAGCCTTTTCTCACAGCAGCTGGAATAATTAAATGTATCATTTTAATGGCGGATCGTAAACCAGACAGGATTGTGTTTACGAAACACATGTGAATGAAATTAAATTATATTCCAGTTTTAAATGTGCTTCTGATTACAGAGAGCCTGGGCTTACAGAAGATTTGAATTTTAAAGAAAACCAGTTCGAAGGGAGCATAATTTGCTTTTTGGGTTAAAATAATTTCTTAATATTAAATTCGAGTGGTATGACAATTAGAGATTATTAGACTGTACAGAAATTGAAATCTACTCGCTTATACACACTATACTCATAGTCACGCAATGCTGTTGTTATTAACATTAACAGTTTGAGAATAAAGTATAACAATAATAATAATTTGCATGGTTTGATGTGATATGAGCTAATTTAGATTAAATCACCATTGGTAGCGCGATTTATTGTAATGCTTTTTTCCTCAGTTGGTCAGAACAAACGTGGCAGACTTGTTACTTACTTGTTCAGATGACAATATCCGGTGAAAATGCTTATTTGGGTCATATATTCCAAGACGTAGGCTAGAATCTGTGAGTGCAAAGTACAATATCCACACCGCTGCGGTGACTGACTGCCACACATACTCCTCAAAACATTACATTTATCCGCGCTGGAGCCGTGCCGCCGCACAACCCACCCAAGGAAGATAATTCGGCACACAGCTGCAATTGCAGATTTTCGAACAGAGATGGCGACAAAGAGGCAAAACTTACGGACTGCAGCTTAAATGAAATTTTGTGGTTATAAAATCAAAATTTCAGTGTTTACATTACATTTACATTTAGTCATTTAGCAGACGCTTTTATCAAAAGCTTCTAGTCTATTAGCTTTGAATACTTTATTCCAACCTGATTCAATCACAAAATGTAGCTATTTTATAAGGTGGTGATTTCATATGAATTCGTACAATACAATTCGTAAGATTTCTTAGAAAACAGCAAGCATGAATTCCACCCCTAAATAATGTCATTTTTTGGAAGGGGGGGGCTTAAAAGTGTCTTTGATCAAGTAAAAACGCGCGACCGATTTAAACGGAAAATGCTCCAACGGCCAGCTGTTGCTATATAGATAAACTTAATAAAATTGTGTGGTCTTAACATTTGTCTAGCTTTGATCCATTATGCCAACCCCATCCCAAAACTAAAAAATCTGTTTTACAATGGAGCGATTTCATATGAATTCGTACAATGCGTTTTATACGAAAATGTACGCTATTTAGAAAGTAACAGACTATATATAAGTGACAGAAGATTCACCGCTTAACCTAACCGTCAGTGGGCCAAGAGCAGATTGTACAAAATCATAAATGAAATCGTACAAATTAGTCACTAATTCGGCAAAACATAAAATAGTTATGAATTAACATGTGTTGACTATGCTAATATTCCTAAAATCTGACTATTTTTTTTTACCTTTAACAGTCAAAAAACCCCCCAAAAAAACCCAGCAAAAATATTGATGACTATAGGTCCAATCAAATGTTTTATTGAAAAACTAACATTTTCTATATGCCCCCCAAAACTTCATGTTTCAATTTGAATTAGGCCAACTTAGCAGACTGATAAAAAGTACGAAAAGAAGCAACACCTTATATTTTTAATAGTTTAATATTTATTTTGTTTGTTTTAATTACATGTTACTTAACATAAACATTTGCCTCCAATAAAGGGACATAAAAAAAAAAAAAATACAATTAACCTGTTCTTAAAAGGCAGTCAGTGGCCAACATATAAGTGGTTTTCTTTTAGAGGCACACAAAGCTTATACATACATACATACATACATAATCAACAACAGAGAGCATAAAAACGTTTTTAACAATATGCAGGGCCGATAATAGAGAAGCAGCAGCCATAAACAGAAGGCCAAGCATTGGTTTGAAATGAGGAGTGCAGGTGTTTTTTAATGCTGTATTTCGGCCTGATTAACAGTAATGCTCCAAAACTTCATAAATTGCATGAAAATGGTGGGTTGGCCAAACAAAAGCCAGATTAGCCACAAGGTTTGCTATTCCCTTCTATCATTATTTTCATCTCCGCCACATTTGTATGTGCCCAAAGCTAAGATAGAGTCCTGAACCAAAAAGCAAATATTGATTTCAAAGGCCAATACTGGAAAAAAAAACATTGTCTGACAAAGCATTCAAAAAAGGAGCACATTCTTCCATTATGCTGTCAGATGCTTTCATATATAAAGTCTGTGTGAAAGAAAACCTTCACAAAGCACATCTATTGTGGTCACTGAAGGCTCCAAGGAGCAGGTTCTTGTCTTTCATGCAGTGTGTTGCATTTCAGTGAGTCCAGATACAGACAACTGAAATGTCAGATACAGACAACTGAAATGTTTATGACATGTTGCAAATATAATAATTATAATGATAAATGCACTGGTATTAAGTTTAAATTCACTGTCTGTAAAGCTTATACCAATTTGTGCACACGAAAATGCAACCAACTGTGCAGTATTGATCCCCAGAGAGTGCTTAGGCATCTTTTGAAATGTGGGAGTGACTGAATGTTGTGCAAGATGAATAAAAGAGCAGCTGGTTCTAATATCCTAATTGACACTGGAAACATTGCATTGGAGCATTAAGGGTGCTTTTGAGAAGAGTAATGCTATTAAATGTTTAACAATTTATCATCTTTGATTCACCACAAGCTGATTTTCTCTCTCCAAGGCAAGGCTGAACAGGTAGGCACTACAGAAAATATCACTGCCTGACTTAATATTGCTCAATTTTATATATATATATATATATTTTTTTTTTTTACTCATAAAATTTGTTTTCTGAAACTCAGTTAACAAGACTTGCTCCACATTTTGTGCCACATTTTTTAAATCACCTTTGATCCCATTGCTTCGGCACTTGTCATTAGGAATAAGACAGAAGGGACATTTTTTATTAAGCAAGCTTTCTATATTCTACATGTTTTTTTTTTTATAAAATACAATACGTTTTAAGGTATGAATACACCGTAGTACAAGATTACTGACAAACAATTCACAAATATGTAAATTTTCATTATTTATATCAGCTATTTATAAATTTGCAATGTCAAATAATGTCTCTTAGTAGTTTGTCAAGATTACGATTCTTCAAAAGGACAGAATGAGTAAAGTATAAATGCTGTACTGTTAAGATTATAAAGGTAAAATTGCGTTTACATGGTTGTTCTTTTCTAAAGTTCATCAGTGGTTTCTTTTAGCATAAATTCAGTTGCAGTAGTGGTTTATGTAAGCTGATAATGTTACAAGCACCTCAGCTTCAATTATAGCTGAAATCCACTGATCAGGTTGCGGTAATGAGGTTTTATAGCTTGTGGGATTCGTTCCTGAGAGTGGACAGACATGCCCACAATAAAAACCTCTTGTTTCAAAGAACTATTGCTGAAACTTTGAAAAGCGAAAGAAGCTGCCCAGTTTGGCTGCTTGTAAACTTTGAACAAATGTGTTAATATTACCCAAAAAAGGAAGAGAACGAACCTTGGAACACTTGTTATGGATTTCTTTAAGCCTCCATGTAACAGATCTAAATACATTTACTGCACTGGTAACCTTATTATAATCACCCTAAAATAAACTTCAAATAGATGGGTATAGATTTGTTCAGAAACACTTGTTCAATTACATTGAACTGGACATCAGATCTTTAAAAAAAATAATAATAATTGAAAGCGGCAGATTAGTGGAGCTCCATTGATTTGAGGTTATTTAAAAACAAAGGGAGTCACACCAGAGGTTTCAAGCCATATAGGCTGCAGTGAGCCTGTTACCTTTAACTCCATCTTGACTTGGCCTTCATACATTATCCAGCCAACCGGACACCGGGAGAACTCAGCGGACATTCAGAGGGAAACCTAGATGATTATCAAGTGGCTGGAGATGCAGGTGGAAGGATTCTATCCAGCTATCCAGTTTGGGTCAGGACAGTTCAGATTTGCTGAGGGCTATCGCCAGCTCCAGATCCTCCTGCTCCTGCTGGGTCAGACGAGCCACACGCTCCCTCTCTTCTCTTTCACTCTCCCGCTTCGCCCACTCTATCATGTCCTCCTCTGTGGGGTACTGCTCCACACACACACATACACCATAACCCCATCAGACACCCCATCAATTTGCACCTGCTTGAAGTAATAGCTCTTTTTTTTTTTAGTCTAATCTAAGTGTCTAAATGAAGAGGAGTCATGCAACTATTACAGGTAGTGTAAATAATTTTTTCTAAAAGTACCAACTTTAAATGATCAAAGACATTTAAATGATTAGAGTTATGGACTAGTAGGATTGAGATCACACAAAGATGAAAATTTGCTGAAAATTTACTCACCCTCAGGCAATCCAAGATGTTGATGAGTTTGTTACTTCATTGGAACAGATTTGGATAAATTTACCATTATATCACACAAACACACAGTTTTTTGCTTCTGGAGTCGTGTGGATTACTTGTGGATTATGGTGATGTTTTTATCAGCTGTTTAGACTCTCATTCTGACGGCACCCATTCACTGCAGAAGATCCATTGGTGAGCAAGTGATTTAACGCTACATTTCTCCAAATCTGTTCCAATGAAGGAACAATCTCATCTACATCTTAGATGGCCTGATGGTGAGTAATTACTTAGCTAATTTTCATTTTTGGGTGAACTTTTTTTTTTATGCTACAACATACATAACAGTTTGTTAAAGATTACAGTTTTATGTAACTATATAAATGAGATACATTTCATTTAATCTATTTAAAGGAATAGTTCAAGAATAGTTAACAAATGCATTATGATTTAAATAATAAATCATTTTAATATGTTTTATTTATTTCTGTGTTTTTTTATATTATTAGGTGAACTTTAAATTAATTGAATATAATTTAAATTATATTTAATATTATACATAATATTACATTTCTAGCTTGTACTTATTTGAACAATGCCTAAAACTTGGTATTACAAGCACTTCCTGTGTCTGTTTGCCTCTTTAAGAAGAATCACTTTATGTATTCCCCAATTGTAAGTCGCTTTGGATAAAAGCATCTGCAAAATGACTAAATGTAAATATTATACATTTTGTCCATTCATTAATTTATTTCTACATTTACTTTTTTTTTGGGTGAACTATTCCTTTAAGTATTGTTTGGTCAATGTCAACATCACCAAAGCAGTTCTTCATCATCCAATAGGGACAAATGTGGAAGCAATAAGGGAGGGGGGAAATAAATAAAAAACAGTGATAATGTGGTACAGCTATTGACACAGGAGGATGAGAGATACAAGATGTGTTCCATGATGCAATCCATAAAGCCTTTCAGCTAACATTGGCTCACAAGCCTGCAGACACATTACTTCATATTAAAAAATGTTTTCTGTTATTGAAGGACTCCTTATTTTAGTATCTGCGATTATCACTGTTAAAAACAAGATTTTATAGAATCACTTAAAAAATGCAAATATAGTCACCCACGTTTCAAAAAACTCTGTGGATCACAAAATTACACATTATTTAAAAATGTTCTACTTTGGGTTTGAAATGGTACAAAGAAGTGAGATATAACAACTAATGAATAATAAAATGATGACCAATCAATAATGAAATTAAATTTTTCACCTAACTGTTTATGATGTACTCATGTGCCAAGGCCTGGATTGCTCATATAGCCCATCATGCTGAACATGCAGGTATTTCACACAGATGTGAAGGTATGGACAACCATGGACGGAGAAATATAATCTCAACAGTAAGCTGGTAAGCATTTCAACAGACAGAACACCAGATCATGACAACTTGACATGACAACAAAAATAATCTAAAGATGCCTCTTCTGAGGTCTCTTCATTTGCAAAAAATCATTTTAAAATATCAGAGAAATGTCATTATAAAGCTTAATTTATTTGATGCATCATCTGATAAAGAAAGTTCACAGTGGGAAAATATGAGAAGACAAGCTCTTTAATTTTAAATTAAAAAAAATAGTAATACAGAAAGGAGCCAACATGTGCTGTTAGCACCCTAGCTGATTAATTTATTGACTGTATTTTTTCTTAAAAAAAAAAAATTAAAAAAATGGTGCAGAGAATCATGGGATGTAGATGGAACCAGGAAGTGCTCTACCAGTGAATGGGAAGTAGCAGCCCAATAAAACAGGTGGACACAGTGATTAGTTCGTGCAGTGCAAAGGAAAGGCAAGGCAAGTCAGTGAACCAAGGTACAGCGGGGCAATGAATGTGCAAGATGGAATCAAGCCTCAACCAATGGTGGAGAACATGACAAAAGAACATGGGGGGTAAATTGAAAACAGTCAATAGCAAGCAGCCCCGCCTCTCCTTCCACAGCCAGTGAGAACTTGTGCATGATGTTAGGCATGTTGTGATGTCATAAATATGTAGATTTAAATACATTCTTTTTTTAAATTAGCTTAACAGAAAAAAATGTAACACTTTTTTAGGAGAAGCATAAGCCTGAATTTAGAATAGATAAATAATTTCATTAGAAGCTCATTTATATGTACAAAAAACATTACATAAAAAATGACAATGCTTTGTGGCTTTTCACAAACAGATAATAAAGTGTTGTCGTCGAAATATTGGATGACAAGCATTTCTTTCCAGGAAAACAAAAAGGAAAAGGCTGTGAGGGGTCAAGAGGTCAAGGCTGCTGCTTGGAGGTGGTGAAATGTCAGGGTTCACTACTGGGGGTCAGGAGGGGGAGAGTGGGAGGAGCTCACTTTGTCAAAGCTGGCGAATCGGTTGGGGTCGCGTGGGGCTTGGTGGGGTGAGGAAGGGGCGAAGGGGTCTGGTACCGAGTCTTTAGCGGGAAGGGAGGAGAACTCTCCAGAGCCCTGAGCCTTGAACAGACCACGCCTCTGAAATGATTCGGACGAATCCGATCGGTGGATGTTGGACCGTTTACCTTCAAGAACATACAACAAAATAGCTTAAGGTACAACAGAAATGTCAATTCAATCGTATCTGGTTCATTCTGATAAAACACACAGAACAGGAACCAGCTCACCTGGGGGTGGAGGTGGAGGTCTGGCAGGTGTTCCGGTTTTGGGCGGTAATGCTGGAGGAACATCTGACTGAGTGTCCTCCTTGTATAAATTCTTGTTTGTACTCGAGTTGAATGGATCGCTGCCATTAGACTGAAAGGCAAAGGAGAAGTTCAACAGCTGCAGCCCATATTCAACCTGATTTAAATCATGTGGATAAATTGACTGGTAATAGAGCTGGAATACTGGGCTTCTGTTTATGTTAATGATCCTTACCTTTGCTAAGCTGCTGAAGTCTGCAAAACCTCCTCCAAAAGTCTCATTGCCAAATACTGCAGCAAAGGGATCTGAAACAAAGTAAGGTACACAAACAGAATCCATTAAACAGATATCTTTGATCATTTTTGATAGTTCATGAGCAGAATCAACCCAATGTAGGCAGTTACAAACTGAAGCAAAACGTAAGGATGTGAAAAATGATGCGAAAAATGATGCAATTATGTTTCTACTCCAATTCGTTGTTGAAATATAAACATTTAAATGGTGGCTGTCATAAATGGTGGCTTGTTTTCATGATAGATTTATTAATGCATTAACATACATTAA